TAATAGTAATAATAATAATAGTAATAATAATAATAATAATAATAATAACAATAATATTAATAATAGTAATAATAATAATAATAATAATAATAATAATAATAATAATAATAATATGAATAAAAAATTAATATCTTCACCAACTGTGGTGCATGGTACCATTTGTTGCCGGAAGAAATGCATCTTTGACCTTTTCGTACGACGAGGCAGGGTCGATATGGCTATCGGTGATATCGGAGTGCTCTTGTTTCGTACGACACGACCCGAAACGTTGAAACCTCTGTTCTTAACTGTTTTCCTCCGCAGGTGTTGGATCGATTTCCCCAGGCATCGGATTTCCATTGGGGGGGGGTGAAGATTGCGAGCCTGAATCTCGTTCCCGGTTTGTTTTCAAGATCGGGGTGAAACGGCGTCTCGAGCTTGCTCGGACAAGAAAAGTTACATATGACCATCCATAAATCAAAATTTGTGACACTTTAAACGTGAAAATTCAGATTTGGACAGCTTAATTCCTTCTTAGATTAATATCTATTAACTGTTCTTAGATTAACATCCCTTAATATTTCGGATTCGAACAGTTACGTCTATAAAACGGTTGTGCGTTGTTAAAACAAAGATTTTGAATAAATGTTGTACGAAAGATTGTTCAGAATAGACTTTGTGATGATTAATACAGACTGATCCGTGTCGCACAATTGGCTTTGGGTGAGTAATTCTTCCAGCGAAAATTTGTTGCATACATAGAGTCTCGAACTCAATACCTGCTTAAACAATATTAAATTACTTACTGCTTAAATCGAACTCGTTATTTTATAATAATATTTTTAATTCTTAATATTGAATGATTTTGATAGAATCGTACTCATGTAAGGGCGATTTTATCAAAGACTAGATTTTGAATTGATTTATTTTTAGGTAAAGTATGCAAATGGTCCCGATTATGGGATACTATTTTATTAAGTCCCTTGATTATTAAAAGTTACAGAGTGGTCCTTCAACTATAGTCAACTATAGAGTGTTGCTTTGTTGAGTTCCTCGATTATTAAAATTTACAAAATGATCACCCAACTATTAATTATGTTCTAAACTCATCATTTTTCATTAAAAATTGATGTATTATGTGATGAACGTTAACTTGCTGATTGTAATATGATAAAATTTGATCTCATAATCTCAAACGACTATCATATCTCAATCATAATGTTAACGTCCAGCTCAGACAACCGCCAATTTTTTAATGAAAAAATGATAACTTTGTAACATAATAAATAGTAGAGTGACCATTTTGTAAATTTTAATAGTCAATAGACTTAATAAAATAACATTTTATAGTCGAAAGACTATTTTATAACTTATAATGAGGACTTAATAAAATAGTATCCTATAGGTGGGGACCATTTGCGTACTTTAATCTTATTTTTAAATAGTTGTATATATTTTTCACAAATATTTCTCTTATTCAACCGGTCAATAACACAACACAATTGCAGTCCTCTTTTTATAAATTTCTTTATTGCTTTATTAAATTTGTGACAAAAACATGGGTTTTGCTTTGTGAATTAGGAAGCCTCGGAAACTGCAAAATAGAATGTTTATGACATAATGTTTTTGAGTAAACTACGTATTTAGTCATATATTTATTTTTGTTGTTTCGTTTTAGTCACCCAACTATTCTTTTTTCAAATCACACCTAACTTTACGTTTTAGCTCCATTTTTTATTATCTGTTATTAAAAAATTAAAGGCGATGTTGACATGTCACGTTATGGTAATGTCACATTATCATTGAAGAAAAATAAAAGATTGTCATGTCAACAATTATGTTTTATTTGTTAAAGGTGATTGGCCAAAACGGAACTAAAATGTAATATTACGTATAATTTTAAAAAAAATATAGTTGAGTGACCAAAATAAAATTGTGGGAATTGCTGGATGACTAAATAAGTAGTTTGCCTAATATTTTTTTACAAGTGTTGTGGATATGACAACATGAGGTTATTCAAATTTCAATAGCAAATATATTGGACTAAATGTCGGATTATCCCAAAAGTATTCTAAAGTAAAAAAAAAGTTACCACATAAACATTCATTTTAGTACATCGTTCAAAATTTAACGTTAAGTTTTGAATTTTTTTTGAAAGTTTAGGTACTAAAACGAACTAAACCTGATAGTTTAGGTATCAAACGTGTTAATTTTTTTAACGACATTGTATTAAAATAAAATGAAAACAAAATGTTAGGTATGATTTTGAAAAAAATAAAAATTTAGGTATTTAAACAAACCAAATATTACTGACGTGACTTGGTGATAATGTGACATTTATTAGAAAAATAAATAATAAAATATTTACTAAATATAATGATTAGAAAAAAATCCTTAAAAATTTGACATAATCCCTTAATCTCATTAAAATAAATAATAAAATTTTGGGACTTTGTTCTAACCAATGTATTTAATAAATATTTTAACATAATCCCTTAATTCACAGACGCGAAAAACTCAGTTTTGTTAGTAAAAAACAATCAACAAACTTTGAGAGCTAGGATGAACACCATAGATAACCTCGAGGGCTAAATTGATAAAAAAAAAAGATAAGGGAGAAAATGATAAATTGGGTTTACTACTAGGGTAACAGTGACCCTTAAGCCTTTTTTTTATTTAGCTATAGTGATTACAAAGTAGTATATGTTCTAAATATTCTTAACTATTTGACAATATACGCTCAAATACCCTGCTGCAATCGCTGGTACTCGGATTTGTGACCTTTAAAAAATAACATCGATTCTTTTAATTACTTAAATAAGTTAGTTCGTGCATCTATTCACTTATATTTTTAAATTTAGTTAGAGCTTTAGAGATATTGATTAAATATTTTAGAATATGATGAAAAGTTTTATAACACCATAGAATATTTTATAACATTATGAAATATTTTATAACATTATTGATTACCAGGGAATATGATTACTGTGAATATTGTATTTTGTGTTTGGTTAGTTTAGCATGAATGTAAGATTACCGTGTTTGGTTAAAGGAATAAAAGATTATTGGAATGTATATTTGACCAAATTGTCCTTATTATATATTTGTATAATATTACAAATTGTAAAATATTTATATATTTTCCTTAAAAAATTAAATTCATAATATTTATATAAATTTTTTTACAAAATTAAAAATATAAAAAAGGTTTAATGAAAGGGTAAATTTTTTTTAATCCCCGAACTTCATATAAAATTTTAATTATAGAATTTTTTTTGTAAATCTAAAATAATTTAAGGATAAATTTGTAATTTAACATTCGTAGAATTTTTATTATTCAATGATAGAAGAATGATATTTTTGAAAAAAAACAAAAATTTAAGGGCATTTTAGTCCAAAACGCCGGTAATGTTACAATACCTAAGGGAAGGGAGGTAATGACATTCCCGGTAATATAACCCAAAAAATCTACTATTAGTAATAAAACATTATCGGGAATGAGATTCCCGGCCAACCAAAGATGAAAATATGACACTTGAACCAAACACCCCCTTATGGTATGGAGCGACAATACTAATGTTGTGGTAATAAGCGTAAATTCGACATTTTATGCTTAGTCAAAACATGTGGAATCAAATCTCTATTTTATTCATGAGAAGATTTTTGCTTGTGATTTACAAGCGGACTACGTTCCTACTAAACAGTGATTTAATTAAAAAAAATAATATATATAGAGATATTATTGTAATTATTTTTAAATATATAAGATAAAATTATATATATTTTCGGGTCGCATCGGATATTTTTCACCCTAAACTCGAACCCTATCCGATCCGAACATCACATAAAAAATCTGACCCGAACCGACCCAAACCCAAATTAAAAAAAACCAATACGATCGGATCTAGTCGGATCGGAACCTGTCGGATTCGGGTCCCATACCCATCCTTAAGGTGTTAGGCACAAAGTTAATCAAGAATTAAATCAAATAAAACATATATTAAAATAATTCGTTGTCTAATTAAGGCAAAACAATCCAATGTCCAGCCGGCTGAGCTGGGTACTCGATCAACGGAGCCCATTTTAGTCAATTTCTATTCTGTTCCAAAACTGAAAACAACTCAACCTTTACCCCGATGGCCCCACTCCAAGAACAAGTATCATTAACAATTAATTAACCACTAATTGTAATTAATTAAAGGGTAAAATATAAAATAATCCCTCGACTATAGGACACTATTTTATCGAGTCACTCGACAATTAAAAGTTACAAAATGATCACCTAACTATTTAATATGTTCAAAACTCATCCTTTTTCGTTAAAGAATTAACAACAGTCTGAGTTTGACGTTAATCTGTGTCTGAGATATAATTGTCATTGAGATTTTGGGATTAAATTTTATCATAACTTGTACAAAATATTAACATTCAACTTAGATCGTCGTAAATTTTTTTAACGAAAATTGATGAATTTAAAACATAATGGATAGTCATGTGAACATTTTGTAACTTTTAATAGTCGATATACTCAACAAAGCAACATCCTATAGTCGGAAGATTGTTTTGTAATTTTGATAGACAGAGACTCAACAAAGTAAAACTATATAGTCGGAGGACTATTTACATATTTTACCCTCAATTAAATTAAGAAAAAGCATGCACAACTTGTTCTTTTTGAGCATTTCTTTTAATTAATTAAATTGATTAATTTCTTTTTCCAGTTGTTCAAAGATTCCATTCACCCATTGGTCCACCATTGCCAATATCATCTTCTTCTTCCTCTTCATCTTCTTACAAAAAAAAAATCACAATTAATAATTTAATTATTACAGTTTCTGCAAATTCATTTGCTTCTTTTTGTAGCCTTCTCCATGTAAGAAAAATCATTAATCATTACATCATATCAATTTAGATTAAACAAAACAAATTTCAACCCAGATTTTCTTTCTTTTCAACACCAAGACAAAGTGAAGAAATTCATTTTTTTTTTCTTTTCAAAACCCCTTCAAGAAAGTTGGGTTTTCATTGGTATTGAAGAGGGAAGAGTTGTTCTTTCTTGCTGCTCATCACGGTTCTCTCTTCGTTGGCTATGGATCATTAATCAATCAGGTAATCATTTTTGATGTGTTTCCTCAAACCAGCTTTAACCTCTTTCTTGTTTGTTTGAATAATGCCATTATGAACCCTGATTTTGCGTTTGAATTGTCTATGATCCATGTTTTTGCTTCAATTATCTGACACTGGCATGATACAAATTCATTTTATCATTAGATCTTAGTGGGGAACATCAATTCAGAGGACTGGGTTGTTTTTGAATTGGGTACTTTTTCAAATTTGGGATTTTTTGTTTGTCTAATTTAGGGTTCTTATGCTCAAAAAAGCAAAAAAGGGGTAAAAACATGAACAAAAATGGAACCATTTCCTTTTGGATTGGTGTATGAAATGGTAAAAAGGCATAGGCATAATAATCACATAGCATGTATGTATGTATGTATGTTGGGGAAAGAAACCCAGATATGTAAATGGTGGTTGAATTGGAAGATTCTAATTTTTACTTAATTTTGCTTTTGGTTCAAGGGATACATCTCTGCTATCGATCCGAGAGCAGAATACCGCGATTTTGCTCTCGGACGATATTTCCAGTTGGTGTTCATCGTCTATTTGTCTTTGTTGTTGATCTTTCAGAAATTCGATTCTCTGCACTCCGAAACGAATCGGCTTTGAGCCGAGTCCAGGAATTGTCATGGCTGGTATCGATGATAATGTTTCGATTATCGGTGATTGGATACCTCCTACTCTGAGTCCGAGGACGTATTTCACAGCTATGTTAGGTGATGATGCTGCCTCTGAAGCTCCTGCAGAAAACAAAACCGTGGGACTCTTTTTCGGATCACGACAGGCGATTACAGCTGAGAATGGTGACACAAAGGATGTTCACAATGGTGGTGGATCATCGAATGAATCGGAGTCGATGTTTGAGCAAAAATCGAGCTCACGGGGAGGTCTGGTGGAAAGGATGGCAGCCAGAGCTGGATTTAATGCTCCGAGATTGAATACTGAAAGCATCCGGTCTGCCGATCCTTCACTTAACCCCGACATTCGTTCTCCTTACCTGACAATACCTCCTGGTCTTAGCCCTACAACATTGCTAGAATCTCCGGTTTTTGTTTCGAATTCGTTGGTAAGTTTGCTTAACTTGAACGTTTTAGTAACATGATAATTCTTGCTCTCCGGAACAGATATGATGAAACGCCGTTGTCCTGCAGAATTACATTCCGGAAAAATATGTTATATACTCTTTCTTCTGTTTACTGAATTTCTGTTTCATATGAATTTCTCGGTTTATCGCTGCAGGCGCAGCCATCCCCGACTACCGGAAAATTCCCTTTCATTCCTAGTGTTAATGATGGGAGCTGCAAACCCGAGTCTCATGTTAGGAGCGAAGATAACTATTTTGAAGACATGAATGCATCGTTTGCATTCAAGCCTGTTGCGGAATCGGATTCTCCTTTTTTCCTCGGTGCAATGAGTAAAGCAAGTAATCTGTCGAATAAAAAGGTCTTTCTTCGGAATGCACGATGTTATTCACGTTCGTTCATGCTTCCATTGTTACTCGTATTCTAAATGCTGGTAGTTATTCCGATGAATTAGAACTCGGAACGGAGTATTATTAAATTTTCCTTCTGAATGCAGGTTAATCCGGCCGGTCTTCCTCAGCAGTCCTTTCCTAATACTGAAGCTTCGGTACAGTCCGAGTGGTCTCATGCATCTCAAAGTGTAGACCCGAGGAAAGTACACCCACAAAACAGCAACATGTTCAGCCTTCAGGTGGATTTTTCTCGATCATCGACGGAAAAAGATTCCGGGAGTAATAACTCTGCAGATCAAAGGGTCTTTGATCCTGTCGATGGGAGTGTTGAACATTCAGTGCCTCTTGATGAGCCACGGGATGAAGAAGGAGATCAAAGAGTTAGCGGAGAGGCCGGTGGTATCGGTGGTGTGCCATCGGAGGACGGATATAATTGGCGAAAATACGGACAAAAACAGGTAAAAGGAAGTGAGTATCCTCGTAGTTATTATAAGTGCACGCATCCGACCTGTCAAGTTAAGAAGAAAGTCGAACGTTCTCATGAAGGTCACATAACGGAGATCATATACAAGGGAGCTCATAACCATCTCAAGCCTCCACCGAACCGCCGATCGTCCATCGGATCGTCCAACTTACTAAGTGACGTGCAACTCGAGCTACCTGAACAAACTGGCCTTCAAAATGGAATGGATGGTGATCCTGTTTGGGCTACTGCACAAAAGGGAACTGTTGCCGCTCCTCAGGATTGGACACATGACCACATTGAGATGACATCGCCTGCAACGATATCTCCGAGAATGGCAATGGACTGGCACCAAATACTACTCACATTGAATCCGGTGATGCAGTGAACGTCTCATCTACCTTCTCTAATGACGAAGACGAAGATGATCAAGGCACTCATGGAAGTATCTCGTTAGGTTATGACGGTGAAGGAGAAGAATCCGAGTCAAAGAGAAGGTTCACATCTTACAAACTGTTTGAATAATGTTATTGAGATCGCAATGCGAATGTTTTCATGTTTTATACCAGGAAAATCGAAGCTTATGCAACGGAAATGAGCGGAGCCACCCGATCTATTCGTGAGCCTAGAGTTGTGGTCCAGACAACCAGTGAGGTCGATATCCTGGACGACGGATATCGGTGGCGCAAGTATGGCCAGAAAGTAGTGAAAGGAAATCCAAATCCAAGGTTTTTCTTTTTCCTCCGGTCATTGTTCGATATAGCAGTTTACCGTTATCGACTGAAAATATAATGCAGAACATCATTCTCTGTTGTTTTGATGCCAGGAGTTACTACAAATGCACTAGCGCCGGCTGCACGGTGAGGAAGCACGTCGAGAGGGCATCACACGACCTTAAATCAGTAATCACTACCTACGAAGGCAAGCATAATCATGATGTCCCGGCCGCTCGGAATAGCAGTCATGCCAATTCAGCTACTTCGAACTCAGAAATTGCCATGGCTTCTTCCATCCAAACACATGCCCACAGGCCGGAGCCATCGCAACTTCACAACAGCACGGTTAGACCGACATCATTTGGTCCATTCACCCTATCCGGAAGGCAACAACTCGGTCCTTCTCCCGGCTTCTTATTCCGAATGAACCAACCAAGTCTGGCTAATTTGGCAATGGCCGGGTTGGGACCTGGCCAACCGAAGCTCCCGGTTCTGCCTGTTCATCCGTATATGCCTCGCCAGGGTAACGAAATCGGTTTCAGGTTTCCGAAAGGAGAAACGAAGATGGAGCCGATGTCGGAACCCGGCTTGGATCTATCCAACAACACATCAGTATACCATCAACTAATGAGTAGGCTGCCCCTTGGACCACAGATGTAAAATTCTCTTATTCAGTTCCGAGCAAAAGAAAAAGAAGCATTTATGTTCCTCTTAATTATGAGATGCAGTGCTATATTTCCTCTTACTTGCACCTAGATCATGTGGAACTTATATAAACTGCAATCGGGGATGAACATTTGACCTAAAACTCGACGATTTTGATTCAATTCGATTGGGTCGAATTTTTTTTCTTTTTGAAAATTTGAATTCGGATCGAGTCTTTTAACTATCAAAAGTTACAAAATCATCTTTTGATTATAGGACGTTGTTCTTTTGAGTCCCTCAACTATTAAAAGTTACAAAACGATCATTTTGACTATTCATATGTTCCAAACTCGTCACTTCTGTTGAAAAATTTACGATCATCCGAGCTAGACGTGTTAACCTACTAATTGAGATATGATAAAATCATGTTTTAATGATGTCTACTGACACCGTCCTTGCTTTCAAGCACTGACTCGACGACATAATGTTTTAAGTACTAACTCAATGAAATAATAAATAGAGACTCGATCTACTAAATACAACTCAAATGATTTTTGGATTAGATTTTATCATATTACAGTAAGTATGTTAACATTTAGCTCGGACGATTGGCGATCACCAATTTTTTAATAGAAAATGACAAGTTTAGAACATATAAATATTCAAATTACCATTTTATAACTTTTAATAATTGGAGTGCACAACAAAATAGTATTTTATAATTAAAAAAATTATTTAATAATTTTTAATAATAGAAATGAATAAAAAATTCCCTATAATTGATAATGGAGAAAGCATTTATATATATCGAGGTGTGACTTTATATTAAATTTGATTTTGTTGTCGATTATCTTATTTAAGTAATTTATCTACAAATTTATAAAATTATATATATATATATATTAGATTTTGTTCGAAAATTTTAATATTTTTTTAATGTCATATTATTGTAATATCTAAAAAAAATTATTAAAATAGATCAAAATTGATTAAAAAATAAGACTAATAAACGGTGTGACCAATAATAAAGTTTACAGGTTAAAAGCGTTACCTATAATATTATAAGTTGGAACCGGAAAAGTTATTAGTCGGAGTAATATAACATGTTACACTAAAATGTTATATAGGGTAAGAAAATAAGTTATAAATAGTATATATTATGAATACTATTAACATTTTAGGTTACGCCTAAAAGGTTACCAGAATTTAAGCTGACCAGGCATTAGACATTATCACGATAAGAAAATAAGTTAAAAGCTGCAAATGTTATTAATGTATATAAGAAATACGGTTTTGACCAATAATATCGTGGTTCACTAAAAAATAGGTTGTGATATGTAATGTTAATATTTTTATTAATAAAATAGTTTGCGTTGCGCCTAAAATATTATCAGAGTTTAAGTTAATGAAGCCTTAGATGTTCTCACGATAAAAAAATAAGTTAAAAGCTGAAAATGTTATGAATATATATATATATATATATATATATAAGAAATATGATTGCGCCCAATAATGTCATGGTTCACAAAGGAAGTAGATTGCGATCTATAATGTAATGTTAATATTATTTAATAAAATAAGTTACTCTCAGGAATGTCACTAAGAAATAGGTTGTGATATGTTATGTTAATAATTTTATTAATAAAATAGGTTGCGTCCAAAAAATTAAAAAGCAGTTCGAAAATTTAAATATCGATACTTAATTTGTTATTCATTTTTCATTGCATTTGATTTAATATTTAATTAATCACAATGAAAATTCATATTAAAATGTCACTTACACTCCATTTTTGCTTGTCAAAATCAAATGCAATGATAAAATGAACAGCAAGTTAAAATTAAGCATAAAAATTAAAATTAATGATCAATGCTAAAATTTACGTTTCAAAATTAATATTATCATGATTCAAATAATCACAGTTAATATCAAGTAAAATTAAGTATCAAATTATTAAAATTAATTATAACAGATAATATAAAATGATATGAAATTAATGCTAATAAAAATAATTAATAAAATAAATTTTAATAAGATTGTTATTCAAAATCAAAGAGTAAATTTGAAATTAATTAACAAAATAAAAATAAAGTACCAATTATAGAAGATTTAAAACCTAGAAATGTAAACTCTAAACAAGGGAAAGGGGGTTTGCATGCAATTTGACCATCTAAATTAAAATAAAAGTATGGGGGTGGGTAGTGTAATTTAACCATGTATATTAAAACATAAACGTACTTTTGTCTAAAATATAAATAGGACAAACTTTGGGGTTTTTTATGAATCTTAACCATCCGAAATAAAATAGAAATAGGAGGGGTTGGAATGTAATTTTATCATTCAAAATTAAAACTCAACCTCACCGGCGGACTTTCTGCACAGCTTTTCCTGGGCGGCCGACTACGTACGACCGCCGGGTGACTGTTGGGCGATGACAATCCGGGTGACGACAAACGGTCATGTTAGATTTATAATATAATATTTTTCAATGAATTTTTCGACGAGTTAAGGTCTCTGACCAGTGACGAAACCATGTAGTCCCCGAGGGGCCACACAAATTTTTTACCATTTAAAAAAACAGGGATAATTATCAATTTAGACCTTTAAATTTTGATTTATTTTAATTTTGCCTCTCATTTTCTATTATTAATTATACTTTATCCCCTTGAACAAAAATCCTAACTCCGTCCATGTCTTCGACAGTGACTATTGTTTATGATCATTCTTAACTTAAATAATTTACAAATCTCAATTCTAAACAAATTAATTTACTTAAATTAGTTATTATTTTTAATTAAAAATATTATTTAATTATAATTCTATTAAAAATAAAACTAAATTTTAATTAATGATTAATTTTTAAAAAATCCAACACTTTTTAATATTTACACAATAAAGAAAAATTTGATTGTGACGCGGATTGATCCAGATTAATTAAGGCAAAACTTTGGAATCGAGAGGAGAACAAAAAGAAAGAAAAAAAACATTAAATTAAATCCCAAAAAGGTACAATTTTACCATGTTCCCAATTCCACAATAGTAACTATCGTTAGGGTTTTTGGATGCATTATAAACAAGGGTAAATTACGTATTTATTAATTAAATTATCAGTTTTAACCTTGTTTTAGTACTTAAACTTTTATTTTTTTAAAGTCATACCTAGAGTTTAGTTTTTGTTTCATTTTAGTATCATGTCGTTAAAAACTTTATTCTTTGTTCATTTTAGTACTCTAGTTCAAAACATAACGTTAAATTTTGAAAAAATTAAAATTTTAGGTACTAAAACGGATCAAAACTGATAATGTAGGTACTAAACATGCTAAGCTTTTAACGGCGGTATTACAATGTAATGAAAACTAAATACTAAGTATGATTTTCAAAAAATTAAAAGTTTAGATACTCAAATTGATCGAAATTAATAATTTTAATACTAAAGACTTGTTTACCCTTAAAAAAAACTTCTGTATTTGAGAACAACCAGTTGCCAACTTCACTAAGAAACAAACTACAGCTGACAGCTTAAACCATATATATATATATATATTGAAGGCAAGTCTTCGTGCTCTTTTTATGGTTGGAATTTAGTCATTCTACTTTTCAATCAGGGTCGGCTCTAGGGCCCCAATTTTTTTGTATTTATAATTAGGTCCCCTGATTTTTTTATATTTATAATTAGTACTCATAATTTGTATAATTTCATAATTTTTTAGTTTTTAGTCTTCCTCGATCTCAATCTAACAATAAAATAATAATATAATTATTTTTATTTATTTATTATTCAAAATCAAGCTATGTATCATACATGCATTCATTTTTTATATTTATTATCTTTTAATTGTATTTAAGGTGTTGTCTTAATAAAATATAAAATAATATATTTTTCCGATCTATTTATTTATTTAATATTAAATTAATTGTTCAAAGTAATGAAATATATTTTTTTTTATGAAGATATATTTTTGAGTTTTCGCTCGAGGTCTCGAAAATGTTTGAGACGGTATTGTTTTTACTTCAAGGAACTAGTCCTATACTTTTCAAAATTAAAAAGTCAAGTCCAATTGTTAACACTGCTAAGATTCTTGTGTTAAATTCAAGTTCATTAATTACAGATCTTAAGGGGGTGTTTGGATCAAGGAATGTGAGATTCCCATGGGAATGGAATCCACATTCCCATGTTTGGTTGGTCGGGAATTTCATTCCCGGTAATGTTTAATTACCAATAGTAGATTTTTTGAAGTATATTATCGGGAATGTCATTACCTCCCTTTCCTTAGGTATTGTTGGATTCCCGCCTTACCGGCGTTTGGACTAAAATGCCCTTAATTTTTTTTCTTTCAAAAATATATTTCTTCTATCATTGAATAATAAAAATTCTACGAAAGTTAAATTACAAATTCATCCTTAAATTATTTTAGATTTAAAAAAAAATCTATAATTAAAATTTTATATGAAGTTCATGGGTTAAAATAAAATTTTACCCTTTCATTAAACTTTTTTATATTTTCAATTTTGTAAAAAAAATATAAATTTTATGAATTTAAAATTTTAAAAGAAAATATATAAATATTTTTCAACTTGTTAAATAAACAAATATATAATAAGGACAATTTGGTCAAATATACATTCCAATAATCTTTTATTTCTTTAACCAAACACGGTAATCTTACATTTCTGCTAAATCAACTAAACACAAAATATAACATTCCAGTAATCATATTCCCTAGTAATCTTACTGTAGACACCCGTTTTTGTCTGGGTTATAAATAAAAATTTAAATTATTATTATTATTATTCTAACAAATATATTATTGCGTTTTGTAGGCCAAAAAGCGAAGCTAATTACAAACAGTACAACCCGGTCCATACCCATTACAATTGACCCAGCAGGAGCCCAAAAGCAGCCCAAGTGAGACCCGGTTGCAACCTGACCCAAACCAATTGAAGCAGGCCTGAACTGCACCAAAAACCGGGAGAGCCTCTACTTGCCAGCTGTCTCACTTGCTAGACTGCTCAACTGGCTTCAATCATATTTGCAACGGTTATGGAAAAGTGGAAGAAAACTACATTAGTAAATCGTTTGTAAGTGGGGGTTTATTAAACATCACCATTACTAGAAGAATGGAGATTTTTTAATTCATTTTTTACGAAATATAACAAAA